TTGGATTCTTGAAGTCAATGACAGTCTTCAACAGCTCGTATCATAGTCCTCTTCTCTCGAGGACCCTACCGTAGGCCACCCTCAATTTGTCTCATCTAGTAGAACGACTGAGACCATGGCTACCAGGGACTCCACTCACTCGGAGGGAAGGCATTCAGGACTCTGGTAAAGACTGGAAAACACAGGAGATGATGGGATAGAGGAGGAAGAGGGAGTTTGCTGATCTGGTTGGTTCTAGCAGTGAATGAACGTTGGTATTCCTCCGCATTGACTCTGCAGTTGATGAGATTATTAGTAGGAAGAGAGTAACCGCTGATTCGACTCGTTGATTCGTCGGTGCCTTGGTTACGTTTTGCGCATGCGCAATTCATTATGCATAGTACGCGCGCATGCGTAAAAGTTACGTGTGTTGTGCCCGTGACGCCCGCACGCACGTTCATTTCAGAACTTGTGTCTTCCAAGCTCGTATGCAGCGCACAAGCATGACTCTAGTAGAGGACGTGTACACTATCGTTGGATAGTGAGCAATAGCATCTCTCTGTGGTAGAGGATACTAGCTGTATACGCTCAGTTCGATCTTGTGTGGTCGGACCTTCCTTTCGCACTGATACGTTATATCCTCTGTGGTTTCAGTCTCTGGTTGTGTTCCTTTGTCTTGTCCTTGGGCCTCAGTGAGACTACAAATGATCACTATTCGTAGTGATACGAACTGTATCTCGGTGTACCAGTCCATGCAGCTGTAGACCTAAAATTTGTCATTGAGGGTGACCTAAAACCAGACGATGGCACAGAGCATAACTGCATGGGACAGTCGATAAAGATAGGATGTGCCTACAGAGGCTCTGTTGCTAATGTCAATCTGACCACTGGAAGTCCAGCAACATCTCTGCATTTGAGGCAAGAGAGTTCGTGGTCATTTCAGTTGTTTGATGGAGGACTCAGCTACACTGTTCTCGTCCGTGATGCTAGTGGTACCAGGACCTATACATGTTCTGACGGACCACTCATTGCTACGTTCACTATTATCTTCGGTACGTGAAAATGTTGTCGACATCCTCACGTCTATTTAACCTTTATCGCACACTTTAATCCCATGTGCTGAAGATGGGTGTTTTGTATAGTAGACGTACATGTATCATGAATTCCTAGGAAATACCTCTTGACACAGTGATTCCCCTATGGGCATTACCAGTAACCTGATGTACTTCCCCCCATGTGCAGATGATACTAGCTCCAGGTTCAGGCACCACACTTCTACTGACTCAACCTACTAGTCGTCCACTGAGCCAAGTACGGGTCCTCTCCTGCCACCACCGGCTCCAGTTCTTCACCAGCACATCGGACGGTACTGGAGCCCCCCTACCAGTGGAGGACCTCTCAAGGGAGCACAGCTCTGGTGAAACATCCTTCAAAGGTGGGTCTATATAGTTTTGAGTAAATATCTAGAAGTTAGAACCCCCTCTTTCCTTGAAGTGTGCTGTCAGTTTACATACGTGTATAAGTGCAACGGAACTCAGCTCTAGTACAGGCCTCAAGCGCTTTGTTTCACAGCATTACCCCTAGTGAGTGTAGCTTCTGTACTCCATTGGTTTACAAGAGTTGTCAGATGGCCTCCCTGACTACTGAGTCGTTCAGTCGGTATATATACCACACGCATAATGTCATGTGATGCAATGAATACGTAGAATATGAGATTACATGTGTAAACATCCCATTTCGCTAGTTTGTGTGTGTGTGTGTTAGGAGAGAAGTAGAGGAAGGGAAGAGATAGCAGGGTTGTGTGTGCACTATAAAAGGAGTGATTATTTCTCCCTCTCTCCCTACATGTGTTTGTCTGTCAGGTCTAAAGCCACTCATCTACACCGTGGCGTCTGTCATCCTGCTGGGCTTCATACCTGCACAACAACTTTTGTTATCATTGCAGTGACCACTGTTTGTAGTGAAAAAAAACCTTTGATAAGTGATGAGAGTCTATATTATACTCTACAGGAAAAGCACAAAACACCAGAGTTATAGACGTTCTGTATTAGGACCTGGGAGATTAGTGTTGTTGTTCCAAACGGCATTATAGAGGTAGACTTTGCTGGTGTCACTGCTCAAATCTCCCGTTGGGAATTCCTTGATGTCGTGGGCAGGCTGGTGAGGGTGTGTCTGGCTCCTCCTCACAATCACCACCACCTCGTCTCCCATCCCCACTTCTCCTTCAATGTAGCCGTACTCTGCCACTCCGTAGTCCTCCACAGCTGTATGCATGGGTGCATACTATCCGTAAAGCAGTTCACTATTTGTTAAAAATTTTGCTAAAAACACCACAGTTCAACAGCAAATGGTTCAGTGATCCTATTTGGGACAAAGTTTTGGGGGTTGAACCAAACAACTTTGTAGCTCAGAACATCTGGTCACATTTTGAATGAGTAGTGTGATGGTGTGTGCATCGTATATATATACAAGTGGAAAAATCATTTCTTCAAAATGAAAGTAGGATATAGGGATGACTTGAAGCACCAAAAAGGAAGAAACAAGGGGTCATTACACACCAAATATGCACAAAGCCACATGACACCATCCCTATATCTTTGTCTCATATTAAACTTTGCCTATGAACAATAAAACAAAGATATAGGGATGGTGTCATTGTGCTTTGTGCATATTTGGTGTGTAATGACCCCTTGTTTCTTCCTTTTTGGTGCTTCAGTCATCCCTATATCCTACTTTCATTTTGAAGAAATGATTTTTCCACTTGTTTCCACTATTTTAAACAGCATTATGACAACACTGCATTTTCAGTCACTCTGATGTTCATGGGTATGTTGTAGAGATAACTGTTGAAAGCAGAAGCTAAGGACTGCTCTCTGAAGCAGTGTCTCCAACAAGGACGCGATTAGGTTGTGGCACATATGGTGGTGGTTTACATTGGGCAGGCTTCAGAAATCAGACTACAATGATGCTAACCGGGGACAAAGAATGAAGGCGCCTGGCAGGCACGCGTAACACGGCGCAGATTGCAAGTTGCTCCTCGTGCAAATCAACAGCAAAAACGCAAGCTAGCCACTTACAAATGTGCACACTGACTTACAGAAGGCACCGAGGATGAGAGTAGTTTCTCTGCAGGCATCCAGTGCTGGCTTAGTCTCGTTCGTGGACCAGGTTTACGAGACAAAATGCGCGCGCACCGCATTGGAAACGCCCTCCTCGGCGCATGCGGCTCACTGATGCTGAGTTTAGCACAAATGGCGTTGTTCAGTGACTACCGAGGAAGAGCTCACACGATCTACCGTACGTGACATTGCGGCAAGTGAAAGAAACGATCGCATGATATGGCATGCCACACCTCCGCCACAGTCGGAGACGTCTGTGAAAAAATCAACGCCGCTTCCGTGCTTCGGTAAGGAGCTAGCTCGAGTCTGAAGAAGACGAAGAAGAAGAAGAAGATGAAGATATGAGGGATGACACGAAAATCGTGAATCGCGTATGAGACGAATTCTCGCTTTCGTGGACGACTGTGCTGAAGGTGCGTATGAGGTCTTGGGGACATTTGTATAGTAGATATGGGCCCGTATAGACTATTGCTACAGTATGTTTTGAGCCTAGGGAGTGATTCTCACCGAGATTTAGTCGTTGTACGCGATCACGGAGATTTCACACGTGTCGGCCCTATATGAGAGTCTAGGTCATACCGACTCTCTGATTATACTTCCACCCAACTGACCCAGTATGTATCGGTAGCTAGTTGAATATACAGTGCACACTATACTTGGAGTTAACTCAAACTGCCAGCTTATGAAGGTGCATAAGTGGCAATGATCTACGCTGAGAAATGACTGCACCTAGGCAGACACAGCACGTCATCACATTCATAATTACGATAATTATGAATAATGAATATGGGCTTGAGTGTGTGGCTGTATCTAACAGACAAGCAGCAAGAAGTAATTTATTATGTTTCACAAAACCACGATATAATTTTTTCACGACAAAAGTAGTTCTGAGAGTAAGAAACAAGCTTTAAGCAGAATGGAGGATAAAGGGAGCTGATGTTGTTCAGACCATTTCGTCAGGCAGTTGTGCCCGTCTCCATGATTAACAGTGGAGTGTACTTGCCTCTCTCGATTCTGACCTGGACATTTCTGTGAGGCAGGACTAGAGTCAGACTGCTGTGGGGAGACATGGTTTCCTGGGTCACTACAGGCCTTTCATCCTCCAGTCTCTCCTCTGCCTTACTACTGTAGATTGGGATAATAATTATTATTATCATTCACTAACTCTTGGATACTCCGCAGACAAACGAGACTGAATGTGACCGTCTTTTGCGTAATGTACAGCTATACTGAAATCCCATGATACACAGAGAAAAGGAAAACAAAGTAGACAAGCCAAAACCCACACAATAATGCCTGCAACTACGGCATGGGTGCTTACGTGACGGGCCGCTGGGATACGGGTTGATTTACAGTCGTCATCCTTGCAAACTGCGAATTTACAGTTGCAGCATATAGCTTGGGATAATATATACGACAGATTGAGCTATAAACTCTGCAGTTAAATACCAGCAACCCTACGTAGCTTGCTTCGCGTGAAGTTGTGGAGTCCGACTCTCTTTTATACGCGCTCGGATTCAGTTTTCCCTTTTCCTAGCCTTTTATACACTGACAGCCTCCTACTCAAGCAGCACTCCGCCGACGCGCGCGTTCCTAAAATACGCGACCGTATGCGGAAGTGGAGCTGCTCGACTTCCGGCAATAAGTATGCGGCAGTCTATTGACGTCATTCGGTGATAGATAATTCAAGGAGATCGCGTTTCATTGTGGAATGTCGGCAAGTGTGTATACAAATGGCAAATCATCATAAAGGGGTTTTGGTTTTTACTATTATATTAATTGTGTAAGTCCAGCATGGATTTTGAAATGAATTCTGCTCTCTGAGTCTAGTTATTCCTTATGCACACACACACAGAGCTTTATCCCACCCCCTCTTTTTCATTTTTAAGGAATTTCAGAATGTCATATTGTTCATGTCACTAGCATTTTCTAACTTTCAGGATACCCATAGCATTGGATGTGGTGCTCTACAAGAGAAGACCTCTCCTTTTCATCTGATCAGCTTTGTCGTCGTTTCGGTGAGCACACAATTACACAAAATCTCTCTCCCTCCCTCCTCACTAGACTCCTCACTCTCCCTATGTCTTACTTGACTATATACCTCAACCCCACTACAGGTTCCACTGGTGGCCATTGACTCAGTCTACTATGGAAGACCAGTCTTAGCTCCTCTCAACATTGTACTGTACAACGTCTTTGGGAAAGGAGGACCCAATCTCTACGGTATTATATCTGCCAAATTGCCCAATAGTTTTACAGTTGTATTATTGCTACATACCTTTAACCATTTTAGGTGTGGAGCCATTGAGCTACTATCTTATCAATGGAGTACTGAACTTCAATGTTGTCTTCATCCTGGCCCTCCTTGCCCCACTAGCTGTAGAATTCCAGGTGTAGTTGGCATACATATGTATAACTTAGTTTTGAGGACATGGCAGTAAACATGAAGCAGGTGGCCATTGACTCAGTCTACTATGGAAGACCAGTCTTAGCTCCTTTCATTCCAGGTATAGTTGGCGAGGTATAGTTGGCATGCCACCGGGTATAGTTCAAAGGACACTTCTCTATAAGGACACTTCTTTTAAATATCACCTCCAAACAAGGGCCCACCTGTTTAATTTCTCCGTGAGTGTCAGCTTCTTCTATATATCACAAGTTCCATCAGAAACCGTACTTAGAGTAAATATACATGCCACTCCTGCCACCCTGTGCAAATTCCTATTCCTCAATGTCAACATGCGACTAATTGAACACACATCCGGAACCATCGCAACAATAGCATAAAGTGTCCGTTTTTCTACCCAAGTCCCAGGTGCAGGAATATTTATCCGTAGCCGTGACTACAGGAAGGTGGTCCAACCGATGATCATCTGGATGCTCATCTTTTTCACCAGACCTCACAAGGTACATGCAAGCTGTGGTTAGCCCTCTCTATTTTAGAATAATTTGCTCTGTTTCATCATTTCAGGAGGAGAGGTTTTTGTTTCCAATCTACCCGCTGTTCTGTCTGTCTGCAGTCGTCACTCTTCATCTGCTGCCTGTGAGAGACCCTTATTGCCACAGCTTTTCCCCTACTGTTACCATATTAACTTTAATTAGACTATTCTGAGACTAAAGTGTTTAATTGTCCCCAGGGAGTTAATACTCAGTCAACACTTACCCACATGCATTAGGAATTGTGTCTCATCAGCTGGAATGTACACTTCATTCCAAGCATGGACAGATTAATTGGTGCCCTTGGGTGGTCGGTCGTTTTGTGTGCATTGATTTGCTTTGCTCTATGACCTTGTTGTTGAGATGGGCATTTTGCTGGTTCTCTCACAGGAGATACTTACAGTGGTTCTGGGTGTGGCTAGAATGCCAAGACTGCTGCGACGTTTCTTCATCTCCCACCTCCCTACCCTCACCCTGGCCGTCTTCCTTCTCCTCTCCCTCTCTAGGGCTGTGGCTCTTCATACAAGTGGAAAAATCATTTCTTCAAAATGAAAGGGGGATATAGGGATGGCTTGTAGCACCAAAAAGGAAGAAACAAGGGGTCATTACACAGCAAAGTTGCACAAAGCTACATGACACCATCCCTATAT